TGATAAAAGATGTCCAACAAAGGAAAGCTGGTGTGAAGAACATTACAAAAATTAAACGCTGTTTTCTTTTGATAAATTTCACTTGCTTTATATGCAACATTGTTAAAAGGGTAAAATAGGGTGAATAGCAAAACTGGTATTTTAAAATGTGATAGTATGAATTTACATTAATGGCTTCATACTGTTGTTTCAGTTGCATCTTAAAATAACTTCTTCAGAGCCAGCCTTGTTGGAAGAAATATCTAAATTGTCAGCACAGCTGGAAGAAACCTGGGTTCATTTACAGACTCTCTTCAATCAAAGTCTCTGTGTGTTAAATTATATGAAAAGTGCTTTATTGTAAAGTGCCTTTTGCTCTTCAGAATTTTGAGGTCAGATAAAAAGGGTGATACTTCTGTTTATATTGTGTATAATTATTGGTATCAGAGTTGTGTTTGGAAAAGGCAGACTTTGTACACCTAAATTTGGTGTGACATCCAAATAATACAGAACCAAATGTTTTATTTAGTTCTTTTAATGTAGGAGTCAATTTTGAGTCTCTACAACATAACATTTTTAGAAGTAACATGCCCACTAAAATGACAGTCAGAGACTAGTACGTAAAGTTTACATGTGAATAAACATCTAAAAGGATAATTTAGTGAAGAAAAGCCATTTCTGACTATCAACAAAGATGTAAAATAGGCGACAAGATGCAAGAGAAAAAGCAATAAATGTGCCAGTCTTGTGTACAAAATGTAGTCTTGTATGTTTATGTTGAAGTTTAAAGAAGTCATTGATTTTGGTAACAAATAACTGAAATAATACAATAGCTGCATTTCTCTAAAGGTAGATTATTTTTCTCATGAATATAAGTGCTTATTAAGAGTTTCCAGAACTAGTTTAGCTTCACATCTGTGTTTACTCCTTTTATTCAAATATTAATTTCAAAAAGCTTGTTGTGATTGCATCTGTGAGACGCAAGCCCTGTTGTGAGCAGCCCAGGCTCCATGGCAGGTAGCCCAGAGCTCAGGCCGGCTATGGCAGGCAACCATGAGACTGCAAGTAACTGCACCAGGGTCTGAAGCCCTGACACAGATCACTGTCAGCAGCATCTGCACACATGCCTCAGGACAGACAGCTGCAAAAAGGCCCTTAATTTCCTTGCTGCTGTACAGTTGTGGCGAGGACATGAATCAAATTTAAATGAAGAAAGCACACTTCTACATTTGGTAGTAAGGTCTAGAAAAAATGTAAAAATGATTTAAGCAGTGATTCTCAACCAGGGAGCTGTAGTACCCTAGGTTGCCTTGAGGTCTTTTCAAGGGTGTTGTGGGGTGCCATGCAGTGTTCACAGTTACATGTGTGAACATGTTTCAGAAGAAAAACCCAAATATTTCAAATAGGAATTCCTAGTGTTAAAAAATTCTGCCCTGTCATGGTTTTTCTGAGTTCTGTGCAACAAAAGAATTGCTCTAGTGGTTTGTTTTTGAATTTTTATTGTTTTGGGGTTTTTTTCTATCGTCAAAAAACAAGTGAAAAGGAAAATGTTGCATTTTCTCAAGGCACCTGTTGGTCTGAGAAGGTTGAGCATTACTGGTCTGAAGACGAATAGGATTATAAAGCAGGAATTTAGACTCCAACAGGGCTCCAACTTGTAGCTCATGGGCTTTAAGGGTTTAAGTTATGGGCCCCCCCAGGCTCCTGCCAGGCCACTACTCCCCCATCACCCTGGTTGCAACAGCAGCTGGAGTCTCTGGGCTCTCCCTGCTGAGTTTCACTGGCTTTCCCTGCACCCAAGGGCAGTGCAGTATGGTGCAGCCCAGGAAGCTGAAGGTGGTCCATGGCCATATCATCAAGATATGATGTACTCTAAAATTATACCCCCTTACATTTTTTTTACAAAATATACCTTAACTGAAAATTATACCTAATTTTTCACTTTTAAAAAGTCTCCTGCCATTAAGATAGTAAAGGTAATCTTTAAAAGTGAACCAAATGTGATGCAGTATTTCTGAATTTTCTCTGCAGCTCTGAGTCTGCATCTATGTTTGATCAATGCGAAAGTTGTACATTGTATTAAAAATATAGGACAAGATAAAGACACTTGAATGTAATGTATGGTAAAATGACTAACAATTGTTGTACATGTTTTCACAGCAAAGTTTGTCTTTTGATATAGCCAGCTGAAGATTTAGAAAAAGCTTAATTCAAACTTAGGTTTTTCTAGTCTAAGTATGAATTACACTGCTTCAAAATCTTCGTATCAGAAGCCAGGGACTTTTCTTGCAGAAGTTGGATTTTGCTTGTTTGTGGCATGCAGGGCTCCTGCAGCATGTATGAGCTTCAGAAGAGGTATTTTCTTTGACATCTTGGCGATTTTTTGATCATTATGCTGTGGCTATCTGGAACCCTTCTTTTGGATTTCATTCTTTTGTCTCTATCTTTTGTTACCCAAATTGCTTTAAAAGCAGATGCCTTAAAAGCAGCTGCTGCTTGTTGACTTGCATTATATCTTGTGATAGTACAAGAATGAGCTGTTGTTTTAATGAAGTATTACACTAATACATCACTGATGCGTTTCTGTACTACTGTATTTAATTTATCTACCTGTTTTAGAGAGATGTACAGTAATAGTGATGCATTCATCAAAAATGACGACAGCCCCATATCATTACAAGATAAATGTCAGACAGATTTCTGCATATTGGAATGTGTGTTCTTGGCAACAGAGAATGATACCAATTAGAAAGTGACTATTGTGAGTATATTAGATTGGTCCTCTGCTAGAAAATGAAGGTAATTGCTATCTCACAGCATTAGTCATTCCTTGTCTTTCACGTGGAAATAAATTGTTTAAGTATATAAATTTAGAGATAAAGTCCATTTTGAAAGAGCTGAAAGCCAGACCAATAAATACGTAGAGAGAGCCACAGGTACATTTCTGTGAGAAAAAGTAGGATTTAGTAATCATCAAAGGAAAAGACCCAAGTGCAATGAAACAGAATGAGGTTTTAATAATTGGCAGAAAAGAAAAAAGAAATAGGGACCTTTATTTTCAGGGATGTTGAGTAGCCAGATTCCCTACTGATTTTATTAGATTTTTAGGGTACTCATTATTTTGGAAATTGCTTATAAAAAGTCTTAAATAATTATTTTTAACAAATTAGTACATTAGGAGATCCTGGCTCCATCTAGGCTATTACAACATTACGGTTGGCCTCAGTACAGTTTACAAATTTTTGCATTTCCTTAGTGCCTAAAAAGTTCTTGTTTTGATCCAAGACCCCTGTCTGCTAGGTGCTGCACAAGGAGAAATCAAAAAAGATGGTCTCTGCCTCTAAAAGCTTCCAAGTGTAAAATAAGAGGCCATGGAGGGACAGAGTGCAAAAAAATATATACTTATTGGTGTGAGGCACAATGGTTTGTACCTAACTGCAACTTAGTTGCTTATTAAGTTTTTTGTAGGCAGAATAACATAGCAAATTGAAGGAGCGTCTGGGCTGTTCCTCCCTCCCTCCCTTCTGAGTTTCACTGGCTTCCCCCCCGACCCCAGGACAGTGCAGCATGGTACAGTCTGGGAAGCTGAAGGTGATCCATGGACATGCAGTGAAGCAGCTGGGGAGTAGAGGTAGGGAGGGAGCGAGTGGTGCGGCATCAGTGCAGCATGCAACCTTGCGGGGCTGAGTGAGGTCTGTGGTTTACCCTGGTGTGGCCCATGAGTGTGCCACCCCTGCTGGTACAGCCCACGGGGCATTCAGCCTGCAGCCACTTAGATGCTGGACAGCCCTGGACTACAAGGCGAGAAAAGATGCAAATAGAATTTAAGTTTAACTCCGATATAAGTAGACTTTTGCATACATAACACAGTTCATATCTAGTTTTAACTGTTTTGCAGCAGTGCAGATTTGTAAGTTAAATAAGCACTGTCTGGGGCTGCATCTATGATGCAGCAAAAACAACAGACTTCAAAATATTGAAACGTAGATCAGAGGCCTTTTCCTCTTGTTTATCATGGAAAAAATAATTATGGCCTTATTTGCATATTTGATAAATATTAATATGCAAAACCACATGGCTACTATAACTCTGTAACAATTATTCATTAAAGAAAATGAAACAAGGTATTTTTGGTCTGTCTTGTACCCTAGTCCCTCTCTTCCCTTGTTTGAGCACTGCTTCAGCTCCCTGTGAGCCACTGACCCTTGTTCCCTTTCTCTCTCAAAACATTTGCCATCCTACAACAGTCTGAAAGTGCCTTCTACTTTTTGTACATTTGTTCCATACCACCACTTTCCTAAATCCCCTTTGCATGCCTGGGAAAGATTGCTCCAGACTGAAACCAGCTTATTCTAAGGGACAATTTTAACCTTGCTTGGAAGAATCCATACTGTGTCTGCTTCTGGAAGACTTTAAACTTGATAAAATCTGGCTGTGAACTTTCTACATCTAGTCAAGGAGAAGAAATATAAATCTGTTTTTAAAACTGAAAGAGCACGCCAAATAGACAGTAGATTTGGTCTGTTGCCAAAAGAACGAGCTACAACCAATTACAGTACTGCTATAGATGAATAGATGTTATTGGAACATCGTAATAAAGGAAGCATAGCTGATGAAAGAAGTATGGTTATGAATCTGTATCTTTGACAAACTCATCCCCCCCAAAAAAGAAAGACAGGATGATGTTTCAAGGCTCCTTTGACAGAAGCACTGAGGAACAGAGATTCACCTCATTACTTACCAAAGTTTATGCTACTGGAGCCTGAAAGTCATTGCCATCTATCTTTAGACATTGTATTCAGACTGTCTACTTCATATGATTAATGTAATTATTAACAAAATTTTGTATTTCTCAATGGATTGAAAAATGAGCAAGAGACAAGCCTTTCACTGGATATATGATTAGGATGTGATGTACTCTAAAATTACATCTGTAGTTTTTTACAAAATATACCTTGCCTTAAAATTATACCTAATTTTAACTTTAGTCTCTTGCCATTAAGATAGTAAAGGTAATCTTTAAAAAGTGAACCAAATATGATGCAGTATTTGTGAATTTTGTCTGCAGCTTTAAATGAGTCTACATTTATGATTTATCAATGCAAAAGTTATGTATTGTATTTAAAAAGTAAATAGGACAAGATAAAGACACTTGAATGTAATGTATGTCAAAATGACTAATGGTTGTTGTACATGTTTTCTTAGCAAAGTTTGGCTTTTGCTATGGCCAGCTGAAGATTTAGAAGCAGGTTAATTAAAACTTAGTTTTTTCTAGTGTAAGTTTAAATTAAGCTCTTTCAAAATCTTCAGTTGGCCATATTACAAGCCAGGAACTTTGCTTGCAGAAGTTGGACTTTGCTTGTTTGTGGTGATCAAGTGTTCCTGCAGCATGTATGAGCTTCAGAAAGAACATTTTCTGTGATTTTTTTTTTCATCATTATGCTGTGGTTATCTAGATTAGAACCATTATGGACTTCATTCTTTTGCCTCCACTTTGTTATCAAAACTCCTTTAGAGTTTTCCTACTGTCAACGATTTAGTTTGAACTCTCCATTTTGTCTTTACAGAAATGGATGTCTAGTAAACATGAGTCATTTAAATGACCACAACTTTCAAGATTCTTTATGGGCACCTTTGTAAAAGAGACATTGATTGGAATAAAGTTTCTTTTGGGAATGTAAACAAAGCCTCCACTGGTTTTAAAAGGGTGCATCCCTATGAGTTAATCGTTAGGGAAAACAGCACAAAACCTTCCAA